GATGGATGGATGGATGGATTTTCACCTGAAGGTTGCATGGAATCCTGTCTGTGTTTCCTGTCTGCTTTCAGGAAAGCCCAGTCAGGATAACCACACTGCTCCAGGGCCTGTCGTGTGTGTGATTTCTCTTTCTGCCTGGCTCCTGGGTTTGTAGGGACACGGTCTGCTCTGTGGTACAGAGTCCTGATCACTCCTAACTTGTGTTCCAGTGGGTGGTGGGAGTGGTGGTGGGGAAGAGACGAAACGTTTCATTAGAGAAGAACCCGTCCAGAAGACATATACAATTTTTTTCTTTTTGATTTTTTACCTGGATTACTGGGATGCATCAGGACTTGCTGTGACATGGTGCCAAATCAACTAAATTAAACTGAATTTAATTTTTAAAAGTGAGTGAAAAAGCTAAAATGGTCAAGTGTTGCCTGAACTGACATTTAAAGAAAAAAAGGCTGAACAACTACTGATCAAATTTACTTTAAAAATACACAAGGACAATGGAAAATAATAGAGAAGATTTGAGATTTTTATTATTTACAATGCTGTCTGAATTCATTCATGATACAGTACACTAGGAGACTAATTGCAGTTTTTATTGATTGTTTTGACGCAGCCATCAACTCAAAATCCACATTTTCAAAACAGTTAAGGCCTAAACAGTTACATGGTCAAAATGACACATTTTGTTTGCAAAAGGCATTAACGGTGCCGAAACATTTAAAATATGGAACAAAAGCAAATTTTGCCTTCAAACAACTCAACTTTTACACAAATATATGAGCACCTCCAATCACTCATTACACAATGGGCAACAAAATACAAAATACAGCACTCATGTGTGAATCAGTGCACCATTGCTTGTCATTGTAGCCTATGACTGTACGCTTACATGCCAGTGCTGTTTGTAGTCAAATTTGCCCTCTTGCAAAAAAATACATCCAGAAGCAGATATACTTTGATGCTAATTTTATTGATTACGTTCTTTTTTTTCAGACCGTGCCCGACAAAAGAAATATTCCAGCTGAGAATACATGGAAATAAAAATAAAATCCTTTACTGAGTGAGGAATTAGGTAAATAAAAAAACAGTCTTTTCCAGTAAAGAACAAAAATCTATAGTAGGCATATACTATAAGAGTATAAGAGAAAGCCACAAGTGATATCTTCTGTCTCTTCTAGACTCCTCTTTCTTGAAGAATGGGCCACATGGCCTCATCCACATCGCATGCGAACTCCTCTTCCTCTGATGCCTCTACCTCTTACTCTCACTCTACCTTCTCAGCAGCCTCAGACCTCCTCGATCCATGCTCTCAAAGAACATCACAGGCCTGCAGGCTGAGTGCAAATTGAAAAATTCTGTGAAGAAGTGTCAAACAGCAGTGATTTCATACTGATCAGGGAGTTTCTAAGAGCTTGGAGCACAGCTAAAACGGAGTTTGGACTTCTTGAACGACAGCTCCGTTAACTGTTTGTTGGGAAAACCTTGTCAATCCAATGAGAATGGGTTAACACATTTGCAAGAGGTGACTTCTGCTCTGCTGAGATGGTGATGATGAAGACCGAGAGGTTCCCAGTTTCTTCAAACGGTCAAAACAATCAATGAAAACTGTAAAATGGCTCGAATTTCTCAAGAACTTCAAACATCATAGCGTGTATTGTTGCACCACCACCACCACCACCTGCTGGTTATATAAATATACGAAAGACAAAAATCCTGATTTGGACACATAATGTAAAATACACTGCCTGGCTAAAAT